GGCGACCGCCTGATGCAGGAGCATACGGACCCAGAATGTCCATGCCCCACTTTGCAAACGGAACTGGACTATGGATGGCTGTCAGGTCAGTTGCCGGTCGATGTATCAACCGGGCGAACTTTTGGCATTTGTCACACCGTTTCACCAAATCCATGGCATCTGCCTCAAGAGTGGGCCAAAAGTAACCCTGCCGTCTGGTTCTTTTTGCCAAGGACCTGCCGCCTATGTGTGAGGCACAAAAACCCGCGTGCAGATCCTCTAGAACCTCTCTTCCCCTTTCAGGGGTTACACACTTTAGAAACGGCTGTAGGTACTCCTTCCGGAGAAGTTCTCCATGATGCATAACGAAGCTCAGAGCACGCTTCTTGAGCGCCATTGCTTCAGAAGGGTCATCCGGTAAAGTACCGTCTGTCAAGTAATTCCGGATGGGTTCCATCCAGGTGGCACTTTGGTCCAGGATACCTATGGGGTCATGATCAATGCTTCTTTTCTCAATGACTTCCCAAAAAACCGTCCTAGGTGAATCATAGGAGGCGGATGATGCCAATTTGGAAAGGGCATCCGCCTGATTATTCTCGGACCGGGGCACCTGACTTAGATGAAATTCATCAAGTGACACGGCCTCTTCCCTGACCGCCTGTAGATATTTGATCATGGCCGGATGGGTGGCCTCGTAGTCACCATTGTACTGGCTAACGATCAACTGAGAGTCTGAGCAAGCGCTGACTTTTCTTGCCCCTGCTGCCTTACACATGCGTATACTGGCTAGCAGGGCTTCATACTCCGCCTCATTATTTGAGGCTTGGAACCCGAACCGTAGTGCATATTCAAACTTGTCCCCTTCCGGAGAATGGCATATAATGCCTGCACCACAGCCGTTCACTGTAGAGCTACCGTCTACGAATAACTTCCAAACCTGATCAGGATTTTCCGGTTGCACCGGTCTAGTCATTTCGACAATGAAGTCGGAAAATGCCTGACCTTTCACTGCCCGCCTGGGTTCAAAAGTTATCTCGAGGCTCTGTATTTCAACATCCCACTTGATCATTCTGTCGGATGACTCGATGGTGGTCATTGGTCGCTTGAGCAGCTGATCTGTATATACAATCACCGGGTGAGCCAAAAAGTAGGGCTTCAACCGTTTGACTGCGACGAACTGGGCCAACCCAAATTTTTCGATCATGGGGTACCGGAGTTCAGCATTCTTAAGTACATGGCTGATGAAATACACCGGGAGCTGATTACCGTCTCTCTCAGCGAGGAGAACGGCACTAAGGGCATGATCAGAGACGACTAGATACACCCGGGGCAGGGGGCTCTCTAGCCTTGGCAAGGAATGTAAGTGTTGCTTTAACTTCTGGAATGCCATTTCCGCCTCTTCACCCCACTCAAATCTGGACCTCTTCCGGATGGCCTGGAAGAAATAGAGGCACTTGTCACCTGACCGGCTGAGAAATCTTCCCAACGCCGCCAAGCAACCGGTCAATTTCTGGGCTTCTTTTACAGTGCGGGGAGAACGCATGTCAATGACCGCCTGTACTTTTTCCGAATTAGCCTCTATGCCCCTTTGGTCGATCAAGAATCCGAGAAACTTCCCAGACTCAACACCAAACACACACTTCTTTGGGTTAAGAATGACCCGGTGCCGCCTGAGTGTGGTGAATGTTTCTCGGAGGTCTAGTAGGTGATCTGTCTGTAGCTTGGATTTGGCTATCATGTCATCAATGTACGCCTCTACATTCCTGCCAATCTGATTGATGAAGACGGTGTTTATCATGCGTTGGAATGTAGCCGGTGCATTCTTTAACCCAAACGGCATCACCTTGTAACAAAATAACCCCTGATCAGTGACGAAGGCAGTCTTTTCTTGATCTTTTTTCCATAGGGGTATTTTATGGAAACCTGAGTAGGCATCCATGAAACTCATCAGAGCATGACCGGCTGTAGAGTCGACCAGATTGTCGATCTTTGGAAGCGGGTAACTGTCCTTTGGGCATGCTCTGTTCAGATTTGTGTAGTCTACACACATCCGCCAGGTACCATTCGGCTTTTTCACGAGGACAACATTTGCTACCCAATCCGGGTAGTAGCATTGCCGGATGAACCCAGCATCTAACAATTTTTTGACCTCAGCCGCTGCCGCCTGAGATCTCTCTTCACCGTGATCCCTCTTTTTCTGCCTGACCGGCTTCTTTTTAGGGTCCACGGCAAGTTTGTGGACAGCTAGATCCGGGCTGACGCCTGGCATCTCTTCCACTTCAAAGGCAAAGATGTCTTTGAATTCTTTTAGAAGTTGGAGCAGGTCTGCTCCCAACCGTTCATAAGCAACCGTCCCAACCTTGACAGTTCTGTCAGGATGGCTGTCGTCTAAGACGACATCAATGCAGTCACCAGCTGGCTGAGGTCGTTGATCATCTGACCTTTCCCCGGCTAGTGATTGCTATTTTTCTTGATTTACGGGATCCGTCTGGCCCGCCTTTCTTTTCTTACCGGCTGCCCTTGGAGCCGGGACTGCTGTATCGCAGTTATCAACATCTATGGGCTTGTCGTCTCCGGCTGCCCCCATAGTAGGTCTGACGTCAGAGAGATAGCACTCCTTAGTCGTCCTCTGGTCCCCCTTAAGGGAACCGACTGTACCATCGTCCTTTTCAAATTTGACAAGCATGAGTGAAGGAACGATGACAGCCTTGGACTCATTGAGGGTCGGACGGCCAAATATCATGTTGTAGGCGGCAAGTTCTTCTACAACCAAGAATTTTACCACCATATGGCGCCCTTCCCCCTTTTCACCCAGCCGGATGGGAAGATCTATGCTTCCTACCGGATGCACTACGCCTCCCCCAAAACCAACAAGCGGGTGAGGCGCTTGGTGCATTTTACTGGATTTGTACTTGAGCTTGGTCAAGCATTGATAGCTGATTAGGTCAGACCAGCTCCCGGTATCTATTAGGATCCGGTGATAACTTGTTATTTGGCATGATTTTAGGGTACTTTTGAACCTTGTTTTCCTTATTAATCGACATCAAAGTTCATTTTTTATCCTATTTTTATGCAAATTTTGTACCATCCATGCTTCACCAGTTGTTTGTGTTTTTGATGTAATGTAGCTATTTTTAGCACTATGGACATGATCAAGCATGAGTGAGAAAGAATAAGGGCAAGCTTGGTTGATAGAGCCATGGAGGAAGAAGGAGGAATGCCTTAAAGGGAAATGAAAAGCTTTTGGAGAACATTGAAAGGTCGTTTGCGTAAGCGTCAACTTCAACCAACCATAACTTTTGATCTTATCAACCTTTTGAAGCGATTCAAATTGGAGATTAAAGTTCGTCTCAAGAGCTTTCCAACAACTGGTCACAAGTCCATTTCCGACAAGAAACATAGAAGTTACAGCTTCCCAAAGTTAAGCAGTCTAGGCAGGGCATCCTGCACGGACGTGCAAGATGATAGCACGTCCGTGCAAGTCTGCACGTCCGTGCTGCTTCTGCCTCCATTTTGGCCCTCCTGCACGTCCGTGCCAAACTTGGCACGGCCGTGATTATCCTTGCACGTCCGTGCCAAATATGGCACGTCCGTGCAGACCTGCAGTCGAACTCCTTCCTTGTTTTCTCCGTCCTTTTTATTTGGGGGTCATATAAATACCCCTTTAGAGCTCATTTGTACTGGAAGGCAGTTTTTTTAGAGCTTTCCTCTTAGTTTGTAGTCTTAGAACATTAAATTCTCAAATCATTAGTTAGTTCTTAATTTTTAGCTTGGAAGCATTCAAATTCAATCATTGTAGAAGACAAAATCCACCATTGTTGCTCACTTTGAAGCTTCATAGTAACCATTTCTTACTCATCTTTTCTACTTCTCTTTACTTTGTTGTTGATTACTTGCTTAATTCTTGCATGCTTAGATTGTTAATTAGCTTAATCCTTAGTTTGAACTTGTTCATGAATTGCTTGAAACCTCTAATTGCTTTAACCTCCATGGATTGTGAGTAGTCTAAATTCTAGGGTTTGGGTAAAACCCTCAATGTAGTCACTAATTACTTATTGCATGTGCTAATTTGGTTGTTGTGGGATGATGATTAGTTGAGCTTAAGTGGTTTAATTGCTTAGTTCTTGTATATGGCCATTGCTAGAACTATTTATCCAAGCTTTCTCAACGAAGGATCGAGAGATGAACTTGAGTTAGCTCCCTTATGTTTAATTGACCCGAAATGCCATGAGAATAGGGATTACCGGTCAAGGGAATGTTTATGTCATCGTGATTATGCTTTAACACTTGTTTTATGCTATGTAACCACGAGAGTAGGTTGTATTCACGATTCAAGTAATCCCTCTAGCTTGAGAGAGTAGTTGGGTGCTTTAGATGACTTCCCCTAATTTGTCCCATTAATTTACCTTGATTGTAGCATGCTAATTGTGATTTGTGATGAAGTTTAGTGGTATAACCCGAGCCCTAGATTCCTCTTAATATTGTTAATCTCCTCTTAGCTTTAGTTGAGTTGAATTAGAAGAAGTTACTTAAAACCAACCCAATTTAGAATTCATTTAGCTTATTTAAACGGTAGTACTCGGTGGTTGATTCAACGCCTCTCTTGGGTTCGACCCTTTCTTACCCTTACTATTGTTAGTGAGACCAAGATAGGAATCATTATCTTTGGTAGGCTCGACGACGGCCTATCAAATTTTGGCGCCGTTGCCGGGGAGGCAAAGTCACATTGAATTTATTATTGTTGAATGAGACTAGATGTGTGTATATGTATAGTAGTTTTCTTACCTTAATTTTTGTTTATGTGTGTTTAACTTGCGATAGTCATTTCTAACGTTTTTCTTAGCTTTGTTTGACTTTGCATGACACGAAAGAGTAAGCAATCACCGCTTATTCCCGTTGATCCAGAGCTAAATAGGACTTTGAGAAACGTGAGGAGACTCTTGCAAGGCACACCCGAGTTTTCCATTGTATATTCGGATTCCGATCCGGAAGAGGTTTTTGGAGCTAACGAAGAAGATAACATGGGAGAGAATCCTCCTCAACCATTGTTAAGAGACTATGACCACCCCAACGCATTCCAACTTCGGAGTGGCATACGTCTTCCCACCACGAATGCAAACAACTTTGAGCTTTCACCTCAACTCATCCGCCTGATTCAAAGCGATCAATTTGGGGGTAGTCCTTATGAGTGTCCTTTTTCTCATTTGGACAACTTTCTTGAATTGTGTACAACTATCAAGAAAAACAACATTTTGGAAGAGTTTATTCGGATGCACATGTTTCAATTCTCCCTTCGAGACAAAGCAAAGCATTGGTTGAGAACGGTTGAAGAGGGATCGTTGAGTACTTGGGATGAGGTGACTAGAGCTTTTCTTGGGAAGTATTGCCCTCCCGAGAAAACCGCTGAATTAAGACGGAAGATCACAAACTTCAACCAAGAGGTTGATGAAACTTTGAGTGAAGCATGGGAGCGGTTCAAAGATTATACTAGAGCATGCCCTCACCACGGTTTCACCTCATTGATCATAGTGCAAAGCTTCTATGATGGTCTTACTCCTACCTCAAGGGCCAACCTTGATTCGGGAGTCGGAGGTAGCCTTAAAAAGCTATCGGTTGACGAGGCCTACAAAATGATTGAGGAAGTGGCTAAGCATTATGCTTATGGAGGTGATAAATGGCAAGGTCAACCCAAGAAGGGCGGTAAGCATGATCTTGAAGCAATAGATCTTATTGCTTCAAAGGTTGATATGTTAGCTCGAAAGCTAGATCAAGTGAACAATGTGCCTGGTAGCTCATCCCCTCAAGTCATGTCTTGTGAGACTTGTGGAGGAAATGACCACTTGGCATCCTATTGCAACACTACAACGGAGCATGTGGCTTCACTTGGTAGGAATGATCCTTACTCCCAAACTTTTAACCAAGGTTGGAAACAACATCCAAATTTTGGGTGGAAACAACCCAATCAAGCTCCCCCTCCTCAAAACAATTACAACCAAGCTCCTCCTTACAATCAACCCCCTCCACAACAACAAGCTCCCTATCGCCACCCCAATCAAAGAGACAATGTCCAACAAAGACCCCAATACAATCAAGCCCCTCCTCCTCCAAAATCCAACATTGAATCCGTTTTGGAAACCTTCATGACCCAACAAATCAAGATCAATGGGGAAGTTAGTAGCTCAATTCAACAACTCCAAGCACACAACAAGATGATTGAAAGTCAATTATCTCAAATTGCACAACAAGTTGGGTGCACCTCTAACCCCGGTGGTCAATTTCCAAGCACAACGGTAATGAATCCAAAAGAGCAAGCGAAATCAATCACCTTGATTATGGAAGGGGGGTATGAAACTCCAATTATGAAAGAAAATGTTGCCAAAAAGGGAGATGAGGGAGATAGTTGGGTAGATGAAAGTGAGTTTGAAAATGAAGTGAGTGAGGAGGCGAGAGGAAGGTCAAAAATGAGTGATGAGGGTGCCTCAAAGAGAGATGAGGGAGAAGTGAAGAGTCAAGCTCCATTGAGAGCATATGAGCCTCATATTCCATTCCCTCATAGAATGATAGAGAAGAAGCTAAGTGAGAAACTTTCTAAGTTCCTTGATGAAATGGAAGGACTTCAATCAAACATTCCACTTCTCCATGCTTTGTCTCAAATGCCTACATATGCAAAGTTTTTGAAAAATATTCTTTCTAACAAGAGTAGGCTTGAGGAGAGTGATTCTGTCTCTCTTCCAACGGAGATAAGTGCTATTACTCAAAATGAGCTTCCCGAGAAGTTTGGTGACCCCGGTAGTTTTGCTATACCGGTTAAGGTTGGAGATCTTGAATCAACAAATGCTTTGTGTGATCTTGGGGCTAGTGTTAGCCTTATGCCTCTCTCTATGGAAAAAAGATTAAATCTTGGGGAGATTAGCCCCACCAAAATGTCAATCAGACTAGCCGACCGCTCGGTTAAAGTTCCATTGGGAGTCTTGAAGGACATCCCAATTCAAGTGGGGAAGGTTCTTGTGCCTTGTGATTTTGTAATCATGGAGATGGATGAGGATTTCAAAATTCCTCTCATATTGGGTAGGCCCTTTTTGAAAACCGCGGGTGTTAATATTAACATGAAACAAGGGCGGCTTACCTTACATGTTGGGCATGAAAGAATCTCTTTCACATTTCCGGAAACGTTGAATGACCCCATGGTTAAACAAGTTCATCGGGTTGATGTTTTGGTTAATATTTTGAAAGAAGACATGGAGGAGTCACAAGATGAATCGACTCATGCTCCGGAGGTGAAAAAGCAATAGAGGGCCAAGAAGAAAAAGAAAAACAAGATCAAGTTGATAGACAAGATGTTTGGTTGCATTTCTAGTGATGATAGCAATGTGATTATTTTGCCTAAGGAAAATGGCAAGTGTGTGGGAACAATGAGATGGGTCAAAAAGGTGTGCCTTGACCCTCCCTAATTTTGGATAGCGCAATGTCGTCAAGCTAGTGACGTTAAAGAAGCGCTTCCGGGAGGCAACCCGAATATTTTTGTAGTGGATTAACTTAAAAAAAAAAGAAAAGAAAAAAAAAGAAGAGAAAAGAAAGAAAAAAAAAAACAGCACAAAGTGCATGTCTTCCAACAACAACCAACAGGAACAAAGGTACCAAGGAGGTTCAAGCGTCGAAGAAGACCCGATCCTTGAGTTAGTCTTCTTTCTCCTTTTTTTTATGAGCTTTTATTGCTTAACATTGAGGACAATGTTTATGATAACTTGGGGGGAGTCATTTGCATGCCTTCTTGACATGTTGGTTTGTTTGGTTGCGTTTGTTTTGGTTGTTTCATTTCCCTAATATCCAAGGCCCTTAATCCAATTTAGATTCCTTGAAATCCAAACCTCTTGTCAACTGAATATTAGTGTTCCCTCTCTAGTTAGTAATGTGAATATTTTCGCTTTCTCTTCAAAAAAAAATGATGAAAAAATTGAAAAATGAAAAAAAAAAATTTGCCCAAGGTTGAGACTCAAATGACAATGCTTATATGTTTTTCTTGCTTGACTCTTGAGCGATGAGTACTAGTTCTCTTAGAAGGGTGTATGCAAGAGATGGGGTCATTTAGAGGTCTATTAATCTTGATTGCATTAGTGTATATGAAATGAAAGCCAATGAATGCTCAATTGCACACCCAGTATAGGATATTGTCTAATTCGCTCAAGTAGGATATGTTTGAATTGAATTGCGGTCCCTTGTGCCCTTAATGTGCCTCCTTTCCTCCCCGAAATGAAACTCTATTAGGGAATTGGTTATATTTGTATCATGTGTAATAAGTGGCATAATAAGTCACATGTTCTTAATAAAAGAAAGAGTCGCTCACAGTTAAAAGAGGCGAGAGCATTGAAAGTTGAAAAAAAAAAAGAAGAAAAGAAGAGCATAGAACAATGAATAAAAAGGGAGACTCTCGAAAATTATCAAAATTTTCTTCTTTAGAGGTCAACTAGTGGATGCCTCCCACACCTTGTTTACATCATTGTTTCTTATGAAATTCCCGAGTTAGAGTGTAGTTAAGAGGCCTTGGGTGTGCATTTTGGTAAGTGTACTAGCATTTTGAGATTTTATAACCGAAAAAGGGCTTGTTGAAACTTTGGAATATCTAGGTGTGCTCTAATGAACTAGTAAAAGGTCTAAAGAAGTATCCTAGTGCAATCTTGCTTAGTCCTTCTCTTTACCCCAAACTCATGTGCACATTTGTATGATTGGTAATTCTTGAAAGTCGCTCATTTGTCTTGCTTGCGATTTATATCTCGATGAGTTGACTTGGGTGGTAATAACATCGGAACTTGTGTAGTTTGATAGTTTTGTTGTGGTTTGTGTGAGTTGTGGGTTAAGCTCAATGGAAACCCTCACGAGATAAAAACTCGTCCTCTAAGGCGACTTAGAGGTTTAAATTGCTTCTCACTTGTGCTAAAAGTGATGATGGCTGTCACCATGCGGATTTGTGTATTTATGCTTCCTCATTGTTGCCTTTCCTTGGATTGATGTTAGCAAGTCGTTTTCCTCCTTTGATTCGACATGTTTGTTTTGCTCGAGGACGAGCAAAAGCTTAGCTTGGGGGGATTTGATAACTTGTTATTTGGCATGATTTTAGGGTACTTTTGAACCTTGTTTTCGTTATTAATCGACATCAAAGTTCATTTTTTATCCTATTTTTATGCAAATTTTGTACCATCCATGCTTCACCGGTTGTTTGTGTTTTTGATGTAATGTAGCTATTTTTAGCACTATGGACATGATCAAGCATGAGTGAGCAAGAATAAGGGCAAGCTTGGTTGATAGAGCCATGGAGGAAGAAGGAGGAATGCCTTAAAGGGAAATGAAAAGCTTTTGGAGAACCTTGAAAGGTCGTTTGCGTAAGCGTCAACTTCAACCAACCATAACTTTTGATCTTATCAACCTTTTGAAGCGATTCAAATTGGAGATTAAATTTCGTCTCAAGAGCTTTCCAACGACTGGTCACAAGTCCATTTCCGACAAGAAACATAGAAGTTACAGCTTCCCAAAGTTAAGCAGTCTAGGCAGGGCATCCTGCACGGCCGTGCAAGATGATAGCACGACCGTGCAAGTCTGCACGTCCGTGCCAAAAGCTGCACGTCCGTGCAGACCTTGGCAGAAGCTTCTGCCTCCATTTTGGCCCTCCTGCACGTCCGTGCCAAACTTGGCACGACCGTAATTATCCTTGCACGTCCGTGCCAAATATGGCACGTCCGTGCAGACCTGCAGTCGAACTCCTTCCTTGTTTTCTCCGTCCTTTTTATTTGGGGGTCATATAAATACCCCTTTAGAGCTCATTTGTACGGGGATGCAGTTTTTTTAGAGCTTTCCTCTTAGTTTGTAGTCTTAGAACATTAAATTCTCAAATCATTAGTTAGTTCTTAATTTTTAGCTTGGAAGCATTCAAATTCAATCATTGTAGAAGACAAAATCCACCATTGTTGCTCACTTTGAAGCTTCATAGTAACCATTTCTTACTCATCTTTTCTACTTCTCTTTACTTTGTTGTTGATTACTTGCTTAATTCTTGCATGCTTAGATTGTTAATTAGCTTAATCCTTAGTTTGAACTTGTTCATGAATTGCTTGAAACCTCTAATTGCTTTAACCTCCATGGATTGTGAGTAGTCTAAATTCTAGGGTTTGGGTAAAACCCTCAATGTAGTCACTAATTACTTGTTGCATGTGCTAATTTGGTTGTTGTGGGATGATGATTAGTTGAGCTTAAGTGGTTTAATTGCTTAGTTCTTGTATATGGCCATTTCTAGAACTATTTATCCAAGCTTTCTCAACGAAGGATCGAGAGATGAACTTGAGTTAGCTCCCTTATGCTTAATTGACCCGAAATGCCATGAGAATAGGGATTACCGGTCAAGGGAATGTTTATGTCATCGTGATTATGCTTTAACACTTGTTTTATGCTATGTAACCACGAGAGTAGGTTGTATTCACGATTCAAGTAATCCCTCTAGCTGGAGAGAGTAGTTGGGTGCTTTAGATGACTTCCTCTAATTTGTCCCATTAATTTACCTTGATTGTAGCATGCTAATTGTGATTTGTGATGAAGTTGAGTGGTATAACCCGAGCCCTAGATTCCTCTTAATATTGTTAATCTCCTCTTAGCTTTAGTTGAGTTGAATTAGAAGAAGTTACTTAAAACCAACCCAATTTAGAATTCATTTAGCTTATTTAAACGGTAGTACTCGGTGGTTGATTCAACGCCTCTCTTGGGTTCGACCCTTTATTACCCTTACTATTGTTAGTGAGACCAAGATAGGAATCATTATCTTTGGTAGGCTCGACGACGGCCTATCAGCGGCAGGGGCAAGAAAGATAGACGCCTGTTCTGATTCACAGTTGATAGTGAGTCAGTATAATGGTGAATACGAAGCAACCCATCCGGCCATGATCAAGTATTTACAGGCGGTACGACAAGCAGTCGGATCCCTTGAAGATTTTCATCTGACTCAAGTGCCGAGATCAGAAAACAACCAGGCGGATGCTCTTTCAAAATTAGCATCCTCGGCCTCCTGTGATACTCCTCGAACTGTTTTCTGGGAAGTAATGGAGAAAAGGAGCATCGAGGAAGACCCCATCGGAATTCTAGACAGAAGCTACACCTGGATGGATCCAATCAGGGCATATCTGACAGACGCTACCTTGCCGGATGATTATCACCAGGCGGCTGCGCTGAAAAAACGGGCATCCAGTTTTGAAATGATAAAGGGAGAACTTCACAAAAGAGGGTATCTTCAACCCTACTTGAAGTGTGTTACTCCAGAAAAGGGGCAAGAGATACTAGATGATCTTCACTCTGGTTACTACGCTTCCCATATAGGCGGCAGGTCGCTTGCCCAACGGACAAGGCGGCAGGGCTACTTTTGGCCTACTTTAGAATCAGATGCAATGGAGATGGTGAAGAAATGTGACAAGTGTCAAAAGTTTGGCAAGCTAATTCACCGTCCGGCTACTGATCTCACTACCATTCATAGCCCACTACCGTTTGCTAATGGGGAATGGATATTCTGGGTCCCTATACGCCTGCTACAGGCGGTAGGAAGTACATACTTGTCGCAGTCGACTACTTCACTAAATGGGTGGAGGCGGAGGTTGTAAAGGGAATCAAGACGAAGGATGTAATTTCATTCATCTGGAAAAATATCATCACTCGGTTCGTGGTTCCCATGTCTATGGTTTTTGATAATGGTCCCCAATTTGAGACGCCTGTTCTCAAAAACTGGTTGGGGGACCAAGGTATTTCACATTACTTTGCATCAGTCGGCCGACCCCAAGCAAACGGCCAGGTAGAAGCCTTCAATAAAATTATCTCAGACGGCCTCAAGAAAAAGATTGAACGAGCAGGCGGCCTATGGGCGGATGAACTACCACATGTTCTCTGGGCCATTAGGACGACTGAAAAAGGGGCGACTGGAGAGACTCCATTCCTCCTAACCTATGGTGCGGAAGCTGTTCTGCCAATTGAACACTACGAGCCGACTCTTCGAGTAATGTTATACGACGAAGAGGCAAACTGGGAATCCATGCGCCTGGCATTAGACTCACTCCCAGAAAGGAGGGGCAATGCTGTCTTGCGCCATGAAATTTACGGCCTGAGAATGACCAGATCATACAAAAAAAAATACACAGGCGTCCACTCAAAGTGGGGGACTTTGTACTAAGAAAAATGGAAGCAGTCGCTAGGGCTAATGAGTCTGGGAAATTAACTCCCAACTGGGAAGGACCCTACCGAATCTATGAAGAGGTCAGGGACGGTA